TTATTGCACAAACATAGACAGAAAAACATAGATACTTAGAATATTATAAATACAAAATGAAACATGTTAGCTTAAATTTTTCTTCTTATTTTTGATAAGAATATTGTAAACAAAAGGCCACATCCAGCATAAGTTGGTGAATATAGTATTTATAATTTTCATAGGTTAATAATTGCACACGAGAACTGTTGTGGGTTCGAATCCTGCCTGTGTCATATTATTTCAATTTGTCACTATCAAAACCTTTGTATAAACTCGTATTCTGATGTACAGAAACCAATATATCTATATTAATAGAGTGAGAAGAATCATAAACATTAGATCTTTAATTTAAACGGCTTTGTTTACGCTATAGAGATGATCCACTCTGCGGTGGATTTGTGTAAAAAATATTTATCGGATTCGAACGATCAATTCATGTTTATTATACTGCATAGTACCTTTTTGATCCGATTAGGAAGTATGTTATTTTATCGAAATATTAATGTACGTAGAATTAAGCATTGTGAAATTATAAATACAACGCAAAATTATTTATTAATAAATACATTTAACTTGTAATCATAGAGTTTTACGACATAAATGAAATCTTACAGCAGTTCTATATGTACTGCAGAGCGAGTACTATAAGTAGTTAAAAATATTAAATTGTCAAAAAACTCATTACAACGATGATAACATAGATTCAAACATTAGTATGATGAATGTAAAAAAAATGTTTCTATGTTTTTGGACGTCCAAATTAAGCAACTAAACCACTCTCAACAGTTAGTATGCAAAAACTGTTACTAGCTTCTATACCAAAAAATTCCTAGAATTTAAATTGTGTACGAACACAATTTTTGTGAAGTTGCATCATAGTTCACGCGGGAAGTGCACATTTAAATAAATCATATTACCAGTTTAAAACACGATTTATATTGGTTAAACTTATTTCAACATTTATTCTCGACGATAAGATCTCCCCGTTAAAATAATTTTTAAAGAAGTTTAACTAATATATATCGCGTTTAAAACCGTTAAAGTGTTAAATTTAAAAGTCGCTTTATCTTCTAGAAGCAATCGAGTAGTGACTTATAGTGCTAGTAGTTAAATAAAACAATTACAAATTCATGCAGTAAATTAAACGGTCTCATGTGAACAATAATCAGTGTAGGCAGAGTAGCAGTTAACTAGGTAATTGGGGGTAATGTTAGCCGGTATCGAACGATAACTCGCGCATGCCGGCTTAGCCGCACTCAGTTTATTATAAAAACTGTCGAAGAATATTTGGAATGTGTTGTTTTCACAACACTTTAATTCCTTTTGCCTTTTGTCGTAATTTGGTCTATTAAGAGCACCGTACGACTGCATTTATTTAATTATTTCCTTAAAATAAGCGACCTTCTAAAGGAAAAATACACAAGGGCGTCTTCTTGTATGGAAGAAGTAACCTAATTAGTTAATTACAAAAATATAGCAACGATAAAGTAGATGACGAAAAGATAGAATCATAACTCTACATACATATACTAGATTACACTGTTACTGTTTTAAAAATACTTTTTTTAAATAAGAGGAAAAAGAGCGAGGGATGAACTTGATAGTAAGAATTCCAGATGCACTGTCGACTCTTTTTTTACTTAATACATACGGAAACCTAAGGTCGAATTTATATGTAATATAAAGTTGAAAATAGAAATTCGGATATTTGATTTTACTATGTATACTGGATTAACAACAAAATGAAAAAAAATGACACGGGCAGGACTTGAACTTTTTATTCGTGTGTGTGCAAAATGGTATCAAACGTTGGATATATAAAAAGACACTCAGAGAAGATAAATAAACAACAATATATTGTATGTACTCTTCACTCAGCTAATGACGACATTTCCAATCATATTGATTGTATCGAATTTGCTCGATCGAGGATGTCAATATCCTGTATATTAGGACTAGTTTGATTGATAAACGTTTACTCGACCATATTTTCTCTTAACTTTCTTGTACAGCGAGTTAATTTAAATTTTCATGTTTTAAATTGTCCCATAAAGTTTATATGCAATGTGCAAAGAATGATCGTAAAATAATAAATAAAAGAACGCCATACCTGTAGCAGCGATGCGCCTGCATCTCCGAGATAATAAGTTAAACACCTTTCACGGTTTAAAACCCGAGATATATTAGTGAACTTATTTATAATGTATATGGACGTGGTCACGTTGTCGGGACCTAGTTAAAATAAACTTACTGATAAATTTTACTTTTTTAATTGTTAAAAGTGTTTTCACTTCACTTTGGACGCCCTCTGGTTAAGGCGACGTAGAATATTAAATAAGGTAAGTCAACGGTTTATTTGTAATTTTATATTACCTTACTTATTTTCAAGTATATTTCATATTTTAAACCGTTGAAACGCCAGATGTCATTTGTTTGTACGTCTTTATTTCTTGACTCGCAACAGTATTAACTTGTAGCTAGCTCTACGGTGTAGACCCGTAGCGCTGTAGCCCTAACTAGATCCGTAGCAGGAATAGTCGATAGGAAAATAAATTGAACCGTAGCAATGTACAGTCGAATAGTAAATTATTATCAAATTACAACGCTTTACAACCGCTCTGTGGCCTGGCATTGAGTTTAGCGCGTGAGGTCCTGGGTTTGAATCCTAGGTATATTAAAGAATATTTTATGGTTTAAAAAGCTTTTGTAATAAGGGGAAAAATAATATGTAAAGATGTTTACTGGTAAAGTACGTTTTATTGATAAATGATGTTTTTTATTTGGCTTAACATTTTTGCACCCGACTATACACTCGCAGACCAACCTTAATTATATTTGTACTGTATATTTATTTGAAGGAATGCTATTATCACTCGGAAAGTATTTACGGGGTCCCCCAAAATCGCTTAATTCCCAGGCGTTTTGATCTAGGTCAAACATTCACTACTTACCGGAGTAATCGCGAAACGTGAAAATGGATTATCTGTTTGATCAAGCCTTTAAGCCTCTAATGGTTTATAGCCTCACATTCAACTGAAGATTCTATCGTAGTTCAAACTTATATTAACTATATTGTTTTTTTTTGCACGATCGTTAAAGGAAATAATGTTCTAAATTTTAAAGATACATTGTTATTAATATTATAAGTTATATGCTAGCTTCGAATCGTGTTTAATAAAATAAATACAAAATATAAAAGAGTCTCGTTATATGTATAAAATATACTACTAATACTTTACTTTAAAGATATAGAAGAAAAAAAATTGATTTAAAAGTAGCTTATGTTATTTCCCAAAGAGTCTAATAGATACATGGTACAAAAAATGAGTAAGATTAATTAAACCGTGAAAGGTAGCCAAACAAACACTCCCTCGATGGGCTCATTGGTCTAATGCTAGAAATGTATAGCACAAACGGGTCATGGGTTTTTCTCAATTTTTCTCAAACATGTCGCACTTTTTCTAGAAATATGAATATTAAATGAGTGCTAAGACTAGCGAGAATTTTGTCCGCCGACATGTTCACAAAAACAGTGAAGTTCAGTGGCGTTTCGACTTTTGTCTGTGGATTTCCGGCTATCTAAACCAATATGGCTGGGATATTCCACCTTTTGTTTAGTGAAGCATGTTTGTTTGTCCTTCTTTATCATAAAAAACTAAAAATGTTATTTATACAAAGTATAATTCTAATTAATCCTTCAGCAAACAAGTGAATGTTAAACATCGTTCATAATACGATGTTCAAAGTAATTCTTAACTCTGTAACACAAAACCAATATTGTATAGAACTTCACTTTTAAGAGTACAAAACTTTTTTTTAATAAACCATCACAAGGAGCGAAGTTGTAAGATTTTGAACATTTATGTAATATTAGGAGTGTGGGCGAATATGGGTAAAGTTTATTTTTTAATACCACAAGCATCAAGCCTTAGATATCTAGCAAAGGATATTTAAATGTTGTTTAAACTTTATTTTCACATATTATTGCACATCATGACATTATGATGATTAAAGATTACGGTAAAAAAAAAATAACGACACGGCCGGGACTTGAACCGGCATCGACGTGATGTTGCTCTAACGAATTGAGCCCCCTTGTTCGTATAGTCTCGACATAGACATACACTCTGCTATACTCTCCGTGTTGTCAATATTTTTCATATTATTTACATCAATAAGTAGTTTTTCTAATTTTAAATGTTGCCAGTTAACTAAAACTGTGCCTCGAACTTTATTTCCAAAAAATACATAAGATATTTATTCTATTTAAAACGTGATAGACTGTGACTACTCGAACTAATAGGCGTAATAGTAAATAGTCTTTTAAACAAGTCTAGATACTAAAAATTTACTTGTTGACGTAATACTTGCATGTAACTATTTTACTAAGTAACTATTTGTATTAACTAATAAGCAACTATATTTTACGCTTAGGTTTTCGGTTCAATTTCTGACCGTATCATAACCATTTTAAAACTAAAATTAAATTTTTAATATATACAAAATTTTATGTATGTTATAATTTTGACGAGCTTGGTCTAATGGTAGCAACGTATGGCTAATCGTTTTTCGTGTGTTTCATTCCTGGTCAGGTCCTCACATGTTTCTTAAAATCAAATTAATAGTGAAAAGTGATTTAAATAAAACACTTTAACGGTTTAAAACGCGATATATTAGTTAAACTGATTTGGAAATGATTTTTAACTTCGGCCCGACGTTTCGGATGCTTTGCAGCGGCCGTGGTCACGAGGACACGTCGGGCCGAAGTTAAAAATCATTTCCAAATAAGTTTAACTAATATTTCGCGTTTTAAACCGTTAAAGTGTTTTATTTAAATGTGTACTACTCGCGTAAACTTAGACAGTATTTAGTGAAAAGTGATGTCGCTGTAATATTATATACAATATTACATTTATATTACACTAATGTGGGGCGCTGTCAGGTAAAATAATACATCAAGCTGTATAAATCGGAAGCACTACTTCCTAGTACGTGCTAAATGTCTGCAAAATTTACAGTTATTGCTTATCGCATGCACGTGACACGGCTTCCCGAAAATATGCGATACGAGCAATGTCCCCGGCTATATCCGTGCGGGCAAGATGCCAAAGTGGCTGGGACGAGTGACACCTGAACACCACATACTTACGTGACGCATCGCACATTCCTCGCGAAGAAGTTCGTGACGAATACATGCTAATAACAAATAAGTGACTGAAGTCTTATACGCCGAAATCTTAAAATGTGTAATGGTTGTTGCTGAATATAAATATATATATAACATAAATATACTTATATGAAAAATCGATTATAAATTGAAAAAAAAATTACGACACGGACATGTCTTGAACCGGCAGCCACAGCATTCCTTGCCGGTACTCCAACCAATTGAGCTACCGTGTCCTACACATCATCGTCAAATTTTTTTCAACCTATTGATATTTGCACCTCTCGTCCAATATACTTCACAAAATTAAGCTCATCAATACTAATATTAAAGCTATAAACATGAAATTACTGTTTTAATGCACCAATTTCGGAAACTTATAATACGTAGGTTGGCTTATTGGAAGTTTAAATGACATCGCCCTATGCGCTGTATATCTATTTATTTAAAAACTCAACTAAACCAATAGAATGAAAGTTTCCAAAAAGTGACTCACGTGAAAAAAAAATACTTTACAATCATACCCCAATAAATCAAACCATAAACCCAGCAAGTTAAGTAGCCGACCCATCTAAAAAATGCATATACAACTCAAAATAAACTTTTTCATTATAAGACAAATACGCTATTGCATTATAAATATGTTTAGACTACTTAGACTACTTTAGTGTCAATCAAACGGGAGTAACACGACGCGACGAAGCTAGTTCTTCGTAAAATGTACCATAATTTGTTATTGTTAAACGCCTATTATGTAAATATAACCTAGTTTACGTTGAAGCACTTGTCCTGATGTATCAAATAAATCCAAATCACGCTCGTTGTCTGTAAAAGGTCAGCGCGACACTTAATCAACGTTATTGTGTACCGAATGAATAGCAAAATTAAATGATACAAATAGAAAAATCTCAGAATTCGGCTCTTGTTAATCCGGTAGATTTGGGCTTAAGTTAAATTTATGAGAGGGATTCCAGTGAATTGTGTCGCATGGTGGTAGTCGTGTTCTTAGGGACAATATAATGAATTTCGAGATTGTTTGCACGATTTTATGTGCCCAGAACAAACACATTTATCATGTTACGTATAACATGTGGTATATTTCTAATTAAAATGACTTATATTTGATAATGACACATCCTTTGAAGTACCATTATCGAATATGTCAATTTCCTTTTAATAAATTAAGAAATAGGTATCTAAAAAAATAGCAGTACAATTCAAATTCGCCGGAAATGATAAGAAAAGTGTTTGCATTTGAATTCTTCAGTTGAGAAGAATTCAGATAGCAGAACTAATAGCCAATTATTGGAATATTTCACTGCCTTAATATTGAGATTCTGTTTCTTCGATTTTCATTCCAAGTACGGTGAGAAAGAATTTCAAATGAAAAGTATTCCTCAATGCTTCCGGCTATGTTTTATAACAAACTTTAATTCAAAGTATGTAACTTTTAAATAAATTTAATAAAAACATACATATAAGGTACATAGATGAATTCTCTTTATGCAACATAACGGTGTGTTTAGTGGTTCTGGTCGGCTATTGTCTCCGAGGGTATTGTAGTACGATTTACTATACTCCCCTCCCCTATGAGGCATTTATATCATCAGTTAAAAAAAAGGACATGGTTGACAATGTATTATATTTACACATCGAGCCTACATGAATGAAAATTTGAAAAAGTAATTTTCTTATAAAATGAAATTCATATTTAATAAATGATTTGTAAATATAATATGTTAAAGTATAAAATAATAACCATATTATTGTTTATATAAAATTGTTTTCAGCGCCATCTAGTTCAGTTTAAGTTCTAATAACTTACCTAGTTTCAGAACCTACTACAGTCCAGCCACGCCGTCGTCGAATAGCTCGAATTTCAGCCGTTACCACGCGATCTCGGGTTTTTCTATGGCGGTTTGCGTTCGCCGATAGAAGCCTCCTAGCGCCCTCTTCCATTTCAGCTATAGGTAACATCTTACAGGTGGTTTTCGCTACGACACTTTGATTCTCGTGCAGTTTTCAAATGAAAGTCTAGATGTCGCTTTTTACATGTTTCGCGACAGTTCATACACGAGATTATACCACACTATACAGAGTAAAGTAACAATTTATTCGTATGAATTAAATCCAATTTTAACATTTGTTTTACTGCCTAGTAAAATAAAATTGACAATTACTTTAATAATTATTTTTATTTATTTTACTATTTTTTACCTATTTATTAGCTAAAAGAAAAACTGCGTATAGTGTCTTTTCAATTATCTTTCTTTATGTAATTAATCGACGTTAATCAGATTTATTGATGGCATTTAAGGTACCTAGTATTTTATCGCTTATTATTATTATACTAGTATTAATTTACTTTGAATGGTTGTTAAAGACAAATAAATAACTTAAATAATATTTCATAATCTTGATTATTGTAAAAAATATATCAATATTTAATTTTAAAATAAGTGGAACTAAAAGTACCCTTATTTTAAATGCAATTATATATTACAATCTTATCTAATTTATATAATGTTATGAAAATAACCGACCGTACATTACGTCGATTTTATCAGATAATCTTATCGTTTATCAGCGATTGTTATAACAGTGTGTAAATATTTTAAATGCCATCAGATAATTAGATAAATGACGATCGCAATATGTCAAAAGGTAGCACTACTAAACGAAAGCAAATTTAACCACTAATGATGGAATTGAAATTATTAAAAATCCTATGATTTCGCGTTTCAGCAATTCGTTGAAAAGAGACGAGATTTGAAAATTGTTTCAGTTTACAGGAAAACATTAAACTACGTGATTCGGTAAGTAAAGACATATATTACGAAAAATAAAATAAGAAAAATCATGCAGTAGACAGATCAATGTCTGTTCTACGACCACTTCTTTCAAAGCAAATTTACTAAATTAATATATAATTTATACCATTCAATTGTTAATTTACTCCGAGTTTGAGAACACTAAGTATGCCTATAGCTTCACATATAAGCACTTAAACGACACGAACTTTCACATATCTTTCAATAAACTGAATTCGATCGACGTTATGTTGGACGGAGCGAGATCATAACTGCGCGCGCGCCTTGGCGCGTAAACCGCCTACTCTGAATCCACTAAAGTGTGGACATCTTGTGAAAATACTTCAGTTGGTATTTAATAAAAATTGACAGACATTACTCTCTGTCTAATCAGATGTGCTAATTATTTAAAAAAATGCGAAAAGAATATTCACGTAATTTACATTAATTATGTTTGCTTGATGGATGTTTCTGATGTTCAGATAAAGTGGAGTAAGCTTTGCTAAATAATTACGACGTGGTGTGAGTTGAATGAAATTTCACAGGAGCATTGTAAAGAATTGGTCAAATAGACAAAAATTCAGTACAATATAGAAATTGGTCGCCGGAAAGTGTCGGAAAATTCGCAACGATCAAAATGTTTCGAGCATAGTTACTGTAAAAATGTTTTAACGGCATAATAATCCATAGTAAGAACAGAGTATTAGAACTGCGCATTAAGATGAAACGCGTTTGAAATAGGTCCCACGCTATTCCGGGCTTGGAGAGTTTTAATACAACGTCAGATTTTATGAATATTGCAAAGATATTGTTATACACTCAGACATTATATACGTGACGCTGTTTACGCGCATCCAAAGCCCAGAATAGCCTGTGGCAGAGTTTCAAATATGTCACACTGTCCTAAACTCCACATCAGCAGTTTCTCATAGTCACAATATAGATAATTTTCCACTAGGGACCCAATTCTGCTAGTTTTCGAAACACTGTTAGTGAGACAACAAAGACAGACCAATGCAAACGGTGTTCTCGTAAAAATCTGTCATCTGTATAGAAGGGTGACTATAATATATAATAATTAGCCATTGTTTTGTTAGAATACCAAATTGCACAAGCATGGGCGTGCTAGTGACAAGACGTTGAAAATAGCTGAATTGCGCCCCAGCAGTTTCTCATGCCATAAAGACAACTTTGCACCTGGAACAATATTCGATATTAAACGTATTTCTAGAAGTCTAACGAGAGCCGTTCCAAAAATGATCGAGGGCGGATCTTCGTAAATAGATTGTTTTGACTAAGAGTATTTTTACTGCCTCTCATATTATCATTGAAGGCGCGGTCTGTGTATTAAATACTAGCTGTGACAGCGACTTCGCCCGCGTCACAGCTAGTATTTAATAAGCTATTACCCACGACATCGAATACGTCCCGTCGTTATTGCATTTTTATCTTAAAACATAGAAATTTAGTGCCGTGGATCTGTTTTTATAGTATTTTATATATATGAATATTTTCCTCCGTTTTTTTTTCATATTTCCCCTTGTTTGTTCACTATTAGTTAAAGTCTTACAGACTATAACCCTCCCTAATAAATGTTCTAATCAACACAAAAGGGTTTTTTGATTCAAACCAGTGGTTTCTGAGATTAGCGCATTAATCAAACAAACAAACTCTTCAGCTGTATATATTAGTATAGATTTTAATTTGCAGTGATAGATAATATTTGCCAAGAATTCTCATCATTTTTTGTAAATGAGAAATCAACGTCTCGGCGGTCGACGACAACGTCAAGTTTTGACAAATGAGCATGTGCGAAGGAACAAATAAACAATACAAAAATAAACGTGCTAAATATGGATCAGATAGATAATTTCAAACCAGTAAACATTATATACTGTCTGTAGTTTACGCGAGTAGTACACATTTCAATAAAACACTTTAACGGTTTAAAACGCGATATATTTTAGTTAAACTTGTTAAAAAACATTTTTAACTACAACAACAAGAAGTTTAACTATAATATGTCGCGTTTTAAACCGTTAAAGTGTTTTATTTAAAAGTAAACATTATATATAACCTGGCTAAATAAAATACGTTTATCGCAAAATAAAACACGGTAAGTAGATTTAAAACGCGTAATACTACTTTACTTTACATTTTTACTTTATATTTTTACATTACTTATTTATAAATACAACGTCTTGAATGCTATACAGTGACCATTGCCACAGGGGAACTAAAAACTGTCTTTACGTTGTACGTGCTGTAAAGCGATACATTACATGGTAGTTACATATAAATAAAGTTAATATATAGCGCATTTCAAGTCGGTAAAAATATTATCTCTTTGTGGTTTTGCGTAAAGTGTAAGCAATAGTTATATATAAGTACAGTATTATAACTTAAAAGGTTTATTTTTCATATAAATATAAACTCTGCTTACAACTGTAAGCAACTGCTTGAATTCACAGCAGCTAAGCAGATAAGCCCCATAAAAGATTAAAAAAACGTGCGCATAAACAAACGATTCGGGCTGCCTACACTTTTATCTGCGTTCCACAGAGATTTGCGACATTTGTCGATGTCTAAATGGCTTATGCTGTCAGAAAAATCCTTATTTTGCGAATGAAAAATCCGTCGGAGTTGCTTCATGTATTGTTCTAATTTTTTATAGACTAAAGAGGAATACGGAAAATTAAAATCAGTGTTCTAAAATTATTTAAGTTTATTAGCAATTAATTTATTTGTAATTATAAAGAACAAGAAGTAAAAGGTTATTTAGCAACCAAATCATTTGTTGACTGTCAATATTTTTTATTTTGAAGCTTATGTATAATCCATAGATTAGATTGAAACTTGAACATCTATTTAAATAATCATTTCGAATTTAGATTTTTCGACATACTAGGGTATGGGACGGACAAATTGTTGGATACAACAGTATTTTATTTAAAAAAAAAAATTCAAAAAAAATGTTTATTGTCACAACTATAATAAAAAATATAGATTATAAACCTACTATAGATTCATAAAACTTAAGTTTGTGGCACCTCGGTATTCAGACTCAGCTGAACGCGGCACGAAGGAGATCGCACAGCGCTGTTTTTCAGCGTGCCCTCTTAGACCGTAAGGTTTTAATAAATAATGCTAATTGAAAAATACAAATAACGATATAGATAATATAAAAGGTATATAATCTCATACTCTAAGTTGAATGGTATGAAGGACGTTTGTTAGTTTTTTTTACGGTGAAACTAACGTATATGCCCTACTACTATTATTAATTAAGTATTACTTACTTCGTCTAACGTTAACTAATCTCTAAATACGGACTATTTCTATCAGAATCAAAATAAACACACCGCAAAACGGAAGTGAGTAACGAAGTTAGTCGGGCCTTCGTGTGTCCTGATGCATTCGCTTAACGCAATAATCCCGCTTTGATACAGTTAATGGAATAAAATCCGTATGTATTAAATTTCAGTAAAGTCTGTTAGGATAGATATCGGGATCAATATAACCTCTATAGATAAAACAAGATTTTGTTATTATGAAGGTTAAATACACAATCCCTATAGCGTTTTGAGATAAAGATACGCTATCGTTCTATTTTCTTCTTTTCATTTGTGGACGGTGGTTTGAGACCCTATTCCTAGCACCCTTGTAATATGGTCGTAATTACCTGAATAGATATCCAGATGAAAGTTAACATGTTTCAGAAAATTATAAATAAATTAGAAACTAATAAGTTTTCATCATAATAATCTTGTCATAATCATGTCATTTTTATTTCTTATTAACTTGTATTACATAGTCATACATATTATAGTAATAAAACAAATTATGAAAGGTTGTATAATGGAATGTTACAACTCTTTAACAAATTTTAAGCTCGATTGATTTTCTGGGTTACAGCTTGGATATTATTTATTTAAACATATATAACTATTATATGCAATTGAAACCTTTAAATAGCTCAATAATAAACCAGTATAATGGAATAGAGAAACTCCCCTAACATGGCAAACAATAAACAAATGAAAAAGCAAACTGAAGTTATTGGACTGAAACTGTTATTTCCGCGCATTTTGATTGGTCAATTTCCTTTGAATTCTGTAAACAGAATAGGAAATTCAGATTCCACTGATCGTCTCAGTACATCGATTTTTTTAATGATATAGAGAAGCATAGGTTCACTTCATAGTAGCTGAAATACTCCAGCCTATCTAAACGTTCTACTTCTGTGTTTTTTTTTTGTTTATGATTGTTTATTGTTTGTATTAATTTGTTTCGCCTACCTTGCACATCTCATTTTCTTAACACTTCATAACTTTAGGTTGCCTGGAAGAGATCGCTTGTTAGCGATAAGGCCGCCCATTGCTCTCCATTTTAGTATATTATAGGTTTATCTGTGGACGTCGGTTGTGAGCCTGACAAAATTTTGATATTCCTACCACCCATCTAATATCCAGATTTCCAGACGAAGTCCAACATGTTCCAGAAGAATTATAAATTGAAAAATTATTGTAGTAACATGTTAAACCGGGCGGGGATCGAACCCGCGACCCATTGATTAAAAGCCTTACATAGATACACCAACTTACAAGATTACACCAACACGCCTATCGAAATCTATATTTTAATTAGTAATCAGGGTACTGTATCAAAGTAGCCCGAAATATAATGTTAAACTCGGAGAGACTCATCAGAAATGTCACCAATGAATCATGCCTGGAAGATTATTTTGATGTATAACCGTAATAATTTAAAAGCATCTGTTTTAGACGCTAAGGTCTACAGCTCGTAACTTTATTAGTGACGACCTTATTATTGTATACCATTTATCATTATTTTTATACAATTACAACATTAGCAACGGCGAAACGAATGTTTTAGATTACTAATGTCTTACACGTAATTATATTTTATTTTATTTACTTATTATTGCTTATAATTTATAAACACACCACAAAAAATTAGATATAATTGAGGAAAAATCTACGTACTAAGTTATAAATAAAAGGCGGCCTTATCGCTAAGTGGCGATCTCTTGTAGGCTTCTGTATACCTACAAGTACAGGAGAAAACAACTACTGCCTTCCTTGCGAAGGGTTTGTGAAATTCCGTTTCCCTTCGTAGGGCATGGGGCAGACACATTTCTGCGACTTTGCTGTTTCGCAGGCAAGTAGTTAAACAGACTGTACCCCGTCCAAATGAAATAATCTGTTGTTTCCTTGGGTGTCTAACCCAGGACCTCTCGTTTTTGTAACACATTTGACTACAGCGGTCTTTAGGTCAGGTTTTTGCGTAGGTTTGGAGCATAGATTATTTTATTACTGATAAACTATTTAATTTATTAATTGATGTGCCACGCCAGGGTAAACCTTAACTACTCATAATTAATGTAAATATCATTATTTATTATTAGTGGTTTCATTATTTTTTTTTTATAAATATGAATTTTTATTTTTCTATTAATTTATATAATGAAAACATAAACGTGACGAAGTTATTTTTCTTATTGCAGCACAGCCTCGTGTTTCCGAGGCAAATGATATCCGAAGACAGTAACGCAGGTGGAAGAACAAAGTGTGATAGCCGTAACCATACAAATGGAGTTATTGTTGTGTTAATGCTAGTGTTAGAAGATGTCATGAATATGAATAAATATTAATTATCTCAGAGCCGGGACGACCAGTCATCGTTGACACAGGATATTACTAAACCTTGTCTAATCTAGGACGATAAGTTTGACAGATTATGCATTAGAAGATTTTCAAGAACCTAAATAATATATTTATTTGGATTCTTCGATATTTATTATTTTACTCGTTATTTCACATTCGAAATTTAAAATAACGTTGATTTAGCCAATAGTGTGTCAGCACTTCGTGCGTGTAGAATAGAACAGCAGCGTACGCATCGGAAGCCCACAGATGTTTTCCCCGTTTTTTCCTACATTTCTCGCTGTTTTTCGTTCCTTAAAGGCACGATGTTTTATAACTTAACATTCCTCGACAAATGTTCTAACCGACACAAAAATAATTATTCAATTCGAACCAGTACAATCTGAGATTAGCGCTTCCAAATAAAAAACAAACGAACAATCAAACTCTTTAGCTATATACTTATGTATTAGTATAGATTTGAATATCGAACTATTTTATATTCAAACTTATCATTCTACATCAGTCAAAGTATAAACACTTATACACAGTAGGTACAAACTCCGATCTCATTGTTTTTAACTTATTCAAAATAATATATTCTGTGACGCATACAACTTACCAGTTCATGCGACCTTGATTTATAGTCTGTCGAAGTTGATGTAATGTATTTAGCATTAATAATATAATTTTTAAAATAGTAGATCGTAATTGAAAATAGTTTAACTAAAATATTTCGCAATATAATCCGTTAACAGTAATTTCTACTTAACATCTTAAAAAAAAATTAAGGCGTTTAAATTCACATTGTATTTTCTAACAACTTTGAAACTATAATATATTATGTGAGGTTTTAAGTGCATTGCATAAATATTATATTATCTTATCCGGAATAGTTAATCTGTTTAATGTTGATTTACGAAACCTAAGCTGCTTAACATAGCATATTACATTAGATTATGTTTATCTTGAAATTTATAAAATTAGTTTAACTTCTTGATGCGCTTTTGTTATTTCATAGAACACCTTTAATTGCACTGCACAATGTTAAACGTAGTACGTTTAGGTAAATGTTAAATAACTTAAACAGACGTCCAACATGACGTCTCTTTGCTATTAAAACTAAACGATAATAAACACACATACTCTGGAGTTAACGCCCCTTATCTAGTTTTATTCTGACTTCAATTTAGTCAACAAAATATAAGGTGTTATATTTGGAATATGCCACTTACCCGCAAATCCAAGAATGACGTCGTCTAGGTATAGACGCTAGCGTCAACGCGAAGGGGGGAAGAGCTGTCGGCGGGTCATCGGGCTCTTCTTGATCTGGTGCACCACTCACGCGCACCTCCGGTATACGGAGGTGACGATTCATCATAACACTTTTACTTCACCACGTCACACATTCTCCGTATGTCACTGTCCTATAGCGTATTCAAATTTCGAATGTCTGGAATGTATTGTTGAGTTTGTAGCGGTTGTTTGTTACTGTTATAAAAAAATATTGGTTTACTTATAAATGCGTAAGTCAAGTATGTTTGCCCTAATCGCTTTAATTAGGCAGCCTACTTGGTTTTTCCACACACCTACGTAAATTTGAAAGAACTTCACTAATCTTATCTAACTTAGATGGAAAATACCAAGCTACATTTTAGAGTAATTCGTATTTATACACAAAAATCTTTGTTTTTTCTAGTCCCTTTTCGTGCCAGAGTCTTATTTTTTTCCAAATGTATTAATAAGAGTATAAAGAAATATTTTAAGAACTGTTTTATTTTTATTTTGTTCTACGCTTTAATACTATCGCTGATTATCGCCTCTTTTCAAAAATAGGCACTAAATGGATAAACGTTTGCCCCAACAACAATTTCCGCGAGCGTTGTCTAGTATTACATAATAGGAAGAATCAGAGAAGCTTTTCAACATTCTAATGATGATGCCCTTCAAAGACTAGACGTGGCCGCAAAGGCCAACGGTCGCCAATTAAGATACAACATCTGACCTAGATACCAGTTTTAACTTATTATAAGAATACTTTACAAAAAATTACTGAACCTGGTGACTATGTTAATTTATTGCCTAATCTGTATTCAATTCGAAAGTTTTCCTGGGCGGGATTCTAACAAGGTGGCACTAGCGTAGACTTATACAATATATTAGGTACTGAAATGTATGAAAACTCCAATATTTTTCACATGTTCATTGCACATGAAGGCACTATATAAATATGTATATAAATAGGTTTTTAAACGTACAACTTTTCTTCAATGATTTTTTTTAGCTACAAAGCTTAAGACATTGAACACTAATGCGTTAAGGTTGAAATTTATTGCAGCGAGAGATGCATGTATCAATAGTTTGAAAAAATCGACGATGACGTGTAAGACTCGGTAGCTCAATTAGAGCAACAGCACGAAACGCTGAGAATGCCGGTTCAAGTCCGGATCGACAGGACGAGCTGTACTGTGTGTTTAACGTTGTTATATTAATATACATATATTATAGTTTATTTTATTATGTTGATACAACTATTACGAATAATTGGCGATGTATCCATCAAATTTGATAGCAATAAAACGATTCTTGCGATTTAATTTATAATATAGACGTATACTATCGCGGATATTGTTTTTGGGATTATTTAAAGGGGAATTCTTTCATACATATTTTTTGTTTAAACGCTTTATTAGCTACAGCGTTGGTTAGAGCAATAGCACGGAACGCTGCGGATTCCGGTCCAAGTCCCGATTCTTAATATATATAATATATACATAATGCTATCACGTGCAACATATTAAAAATGTTTAAATTATTTTTTCATTGCTACCCTCGGTATATGAAGGCGACAATCAACCTGTTGCTGCGAGGTTGATTGTCTGTCTAAAAAAGTCCAAGTTCATAAGACTGTGACCTGCACGTTTGTCTATACTCTGTTACAATTACTGTGTAGCATCTGTTGGCTACTTACCTAATAGTAGCCGACCGAAGCGTTATGACGTAAATTTTACATATTTTACTCTTTATTTCACGTGGGCTCATACAAATTGTCAAATCTTAGAATATATAACATAAGAAACATAATCAGTTGAACTATTTCAAAGATCTCGTAATATATTATTTCACCCCCCCGTGACTATGGCTGCTGGACAAAGCATGCAAAAGTTAAAATAATTTGTAATAAGTTACCAAATATATTTCGTGTATTAAACCGTTAAAAACGTTTTATTTAAATTTCAAAATACATTTTAAAATTGTCTCACTGCGACCCTTACATAGCTGCTTTAGCAGCTGTATTATTGGAATAGAAATATTATGATTCAGTATAATTTTCACAAGTACACTTATGAATTATTTCGACTCAAACCTTTACCGTTCTTAACAGTAGAAAGAAAACTAAAGTAATATATAAAAGGCCTAATGCGAATCGTTTTAATATGTCGTTTAAAAATGTAATGTTGTAATAGAACAGCCAAGAACAATAGAATTATAGAAAAACTAAATAGGAAAATACTTATTTGCATTTTGGGCATTCTTGTACCACTGTGTTCCAATAAATTATTACGTTTATATTTCGAAGGTTTAATTCGAATATTAATTGCGGGAAAGGTTTTATAGCTTCATTTAAACTTTAGATATTTCCCTTGTTGATGAAAAGCAATAAGTATAAAGTTTGGAACAGAGAAGATTAAACGAATAAAGTGCTAAAACATAGCTCAATTATAGCGTAATTGAGGTAGACATAGATCGATTGACGTCGATCGCTCGGAAATATTGCAAAAAAAATCTATATGTACATAGCTATTATATTAGCTTAACTATTTCCACTATTGGAAGAATATAAAGTCCACCACGTTGACAAAGACCGTGTAGTAAATGATACTCAACTTTTTACGTTCTAGGCATGTTATGCTCATAGAAGAACTCCTTTCAGAATGTATAGAGAAGAACCAATTTTTCGTGCAAGAATGGGGTTCAAACTATCGACCTTAGGTTGACCTACAGTAGGCTCTCCATTAGGTGACTTGCGAGATAGCAAATAATTCAAAAGGTAACAATATATCTAAATTTTATTAGTTTTGCAGGTAGAATATGTTTTGAATATAAAAGAGTTATAGAGATAGTAACAGTAAAAAATTAGTGAAATAATTATTTGCTTATTTGAATACCTGTTTAATATATTTTAACATTACCTAATCTGTTATTAATTACGTAATATTAAATAACATGTACTTTTAGCAAGTTGAACACTAACTAACTAAAATGTAACATTCTTAATAAAGCTTAAAATGGTTTCCAAATAACCAAATGGGTTTGGAGACCTTAACACTGTCAGTGTTTCAATGTCGCTTGGGGCAATAAAGCGGCAGCCGGCAGGGCGGGCGGTAAGGCGGGAGGTAGGGCGGGCTTCGTAATCGCAAATCGCGACCTTTGCATGAGCGCCTGACGGACACACGGCACGCACGCTTACAGCATGCTACACAAAAGTGACAGGCGCTTCGAATTCACTCTAAAATAATTTCTGCGCATCGCTAGTCTTCTTTGTGCGTGCCAGTAACTAGTGAAACGCGTGTAATTAGTTTTAACTGCAAACTAAAGCTTACAATAGACAAACAGTTCCGTATAGCTCAAATGATTTTAAATATTAGATTGCTAGTTATATAATTAGGAATATAATTGTTCTGTCGCAGTTATCGAACTCCTTTGTCAAAAATATGTAATAATTTATTAAAATTATTTAGGTTTTACGACACGGGCGGGACTTGAATCGGCACTCACATAGTTCAGTGCTGCTTTTCTTACCAATTGAGCGACCGTATCGTGAATTATTTTCAACCTAAATACATTTTTTATGTATATAATATCTACAGAAAAGTGTTATGATTTAAACGTCGAAAATAAATTGAAAAAATTTCGACTCGGGCTTCCAACCGAGGACTTGAACCGGATTCGAATTTTATCGGCAATTTATTTTCGATGTTTAAATTGTATAGTGCCTTCATGTGCAATAACATGTAAAAAAAAGGTTTCAGTGTTATGATTGCTATAATTTTTTATTGTGATTATTAAGATAAATCACACTTTAACGAAAATTCATTGTAAAATTAACATTATAGTATAGTAACTATATAAGCATCTATACTATATAAGCATATAGTATAAAGGTATACAAAATATTGTATTGCTCAAAATCGTTTCGGTAAAGAGCCCGAAATTTTACCCTAATAACGTTAAGTGAGTCTACATAGAATTTGAATATAAGCTCGTGGGCAATTCCTAAAGATCGTACGTGGCATTTTAAATGTCTCATAACAATATACCTGCGCTGATTAGTTGGCGAAACGTGCTTAAGTTGCAAATATACACGACAAAACATTGTGATTCTTTATCACTTTAATTCAAGGCACAACGATGTTACCATACGTTATTAAATAACACTATTGTTCTTTAATTATGTCACAATGAAGAACAATCTTAAATTATTATGAGTGAAATCCCGTTTCCCTTGCGGGGTATGGGGCGAACACATTTCTGTGAGACTGATCGGTTTCATTTACAGGCAAGTAGTTGATCAGACCTCTGTGCTCATCCCGTTCAAAACAATATATTATTTCTCCGGGATTTGAACTCAGGACTAATAGCGATTATTAACCATTTATCTAGAGAGGCGAACATTCTTCAGTAGTTTTCAGGGTGTTTTACCATAAAAACTACTGAAGTAAAGGATTAGAAACATCTAGTAAAATTTACTATTCGTTCATTAGATATCATTTGCGATGTTTATAATGAATATATGTTGGCAAGAGTGATCTATAAAAGTTTTTAATTTATATATCGGCAGCACAATAGACCCCTTCTATAGCTAGATGGTTAAAGCCTAGCGTTAAGCGCCAGATATCCTGGGTTCGTATCCTAAGAAAAAAATGGTTTCCGTGCCGCGATCAGAGAAACAGACACAGAAATATTTTCGCCCCATTCTCCAAGTGGAAACGAGTTTTTATTTTTATCACAATAGATACAATTCTATCCTTTTATAGCCGAACGGGACGTGTAAAATGACACATTCTTTTTTATACGCGAATCTGCAATAATCTGGTCGTGAAAACGGCGAACCCACATCCCGCTGACGTCAGCCAGACCGAGCCCTCGTTTTATTGGCATTTTATTGCGAGGGTAGATCTCATGGTCAATCAATTGCATAATGTCGTACTACCTGCTAACGATACTCAATTGATATTATTGTTCTCGCTCTTTGTTTTCCTATTTATTGTTGATGTCTCATAGTGTAATTAGCCTTTCAATGATGCATTGTCACGAATGTTTATAAATATGTTTATAATTAATTGTGTAATTTTAGTTTGGTGTTATGATAGAGGA